AGAGTCTCAGGGAGAGGAGCAGATGTTCACCAGAAGATATATATGAGAAGACTTTAAATTATAAATTCTGCATTTGAAAATGAGCAACTTTTTCTTGGTTTATTGACCACAGAGATCCTTACTTGCATGTGAAACATCAAGGGACATTGTTAGAATGTATTGTTCCAACTCTGTCAGTTCTATCAGCATAAAAAATGAGTTGGCAGGGCTTCAGTGCCTCTCAAGATGCCCATAGGACTTGAAGAGACTTCATAGGTCATGGAGTGCATCCCAGGCACTGCTTTGTGTCCTTCATAAAATTTTAATCTGAATCCTAAAAACAAAGATTTTTTTTTTATAGACTTGCTTCTTCCAGTTGAAGGCTCTTCCAGAATCAAACTTTGCTAATGGTTATAAACTTTAAAATCTTCAGCCAAAATGTCTTCATGGCTGCACATTTGTTCTTGTGCCAGGGTTGTCAGTTTCAGAAGCTCTTCTCTTTCTTCCTGCTCCGTTCTCGTTTCCTCTCTCCCCATTCACTTACACACATAGCAGTCAGCCTTCATTAATGCGAGATTCACTGAATTATTTTTTTCCAGTGGCCTCTCAGATGAGTGTTCCACTGTCCTCACCATTATATAGCCCATCTCTTGCAGCTCGAGTTCATGGGTGGCCTGTACTGTACATGGTATTCCAGATTAAACCTTGATAATGGCTTGTAAAGAAACACCAAGGTATCCCTGGGTTTGCTAGGTGTATATGGTGCTGTACTGTATCATTGGATCTGCTGTTGTCCTGGTTACATCACCTTATGGGGCAGTGATCTTGTGAGGTACTAATATAGCTGGAAAGGGTTTTCTTTTCAATAACTGTTTCCCCTTTTGCCTCACAGCTTCTGTGCTTATCCTTGCTTTCTTCATTATCAATTCCCATTTAGCAGTGTTAAAAGCTTTACAGAGATCCAAATAGATAAGGCCTAATTTATTTCAGATTCCTAAAAAGCTCAAAGGAGGATGTCAGGTATTTCTGGAATGACATCTGTGTTTTGTTTTATCCTATTTTCCAAGTCTTTACTTACTCTTCCTTTCTGCATGATAGTGAAATCACATTACAGGCCTCAGTTTACCAGTTTACTTATATTTTTAATCTTCCCTCTGAGGACTGTTTGTTGCTTCTCGGTTATGTTGCATCAGCTTCAATTTCATAGATGTATGACAAATGCTACTTATCAGACCTAAATCCACATGCTGATTCTTACAGTATTTTTTCTATAGAGATTTATCTGTGTTCTACTGAATGCACTAAACTCCAGGGGTTTTCTTTCCACTCAGTTATTATTTCTATATCTACATGATACAGGTAATTCCCATTATGTCTTTTACTCTTTTTCAGCATTGTCCTGCTTGTAGAAAACTGATTATTTCTTCACTCATATCTAGAATATAATTATCACTATTATCACTATGCCAATATCTTTTCATTATACCTCCAATTTTTATTTCATTTTTGGTACTGTTAATAATCTTTGCAGGGTCAACATTACCTTGATTTTTTTTTTTTTTATTTATACTTCCACTTTTTGGCCTCCAAGACATAATTTATTTTTTTTTAATTTATTTCCGTCTGTATTAAATAACCTCTTTCTGTATACATAAGACTACTCTGTGCTGGCTATTCTAACCAGAGGATGGTTTGCAATGACCTATTACCTTTGTTGGTTCTTTTTTTCTCTTTGGTTGAAATACAAATCTAAGTATGTATTTACTTTTTTTCAGTTAGGTTAAGGCAGAGATTGGTGTTATAAGAAAGAATCCTATATACTCTATCTGGTTGTGAAATATGCAATCATAGAATCATAGAATAGGATTGGAAAGGACCTTAAGATCATCTAGTTCCAACCCCCCTGCCATGGGCAGGGACACCTCACACTAAACCATGTCACCCAAGGCTCTGTCCAACCTGGCCTTGAACACTGCCAGGGTTGGAGCATTCACAACTTTAAAGGTTATTTTTCTCAGTAAGCAAACATTCAAAATAAAGCAATACCTTTGAATGTTCTGAGTTGTTCTCGTTTCACTAGGAAGGATGCTAATTCTGAGCCTGAGATGTAACTCAGAAGAAGCAGCAGCCCTTCAGAGGGGCCCAGTGATGTGCTGCTGAAAGGATGTGATTTATTATATTTTTTCATGGCTATAACTTAGTTATACACACACTGTAACTGCATAAAAATGCAGTAACAGAACGTACATAGGGTTATTTGAATGTCTGTCCGTTTGCACATACAACCGTGCCTAGTGCACGTGCATATATAGGTTAGTATTTATGTGTATAGACCAGCACAGAATGCCAAAAGCTTGACCTTAGCATGAGATTTGTAACCGTTTCACTTCGGGCCTTTCTGATTAAACATCCAGCTGCTGTGAGAGACCCTGTAGCTGAGCATTCACACAGGTTTTCCACCCCATCCTCTCCCTCATGTTCTCAATACTGAGGGTGTGTGAAGTACCAGGAAGAACTCTGCTGTCCTCCTGGCAGAGTCCCCTCCCGTGGCATCAGTGCTGGCCCTGGAGATAATGGCAGGGAGGGAAATTTGGGTTTTGTCAAGGTGCGCCAGGGATGTGGGATGTGACATGCCCCTCCTTCCTCCAGAAGTTCATTCCAGAGAGAACAGTAATAAACGCGGAAGAGGGGAAAGTGCTACCGCAGCAGTTTTCCTACTTGGAGTACATCACAAAGGTTGTATTGCATCCTGAGGTGGTTTTGCCAGCCTCATATGACTGAAAGGAAAACATTGACATTTGGACTGGTCTGATGTTCTCTGGCTGTGCTGTGGTTTTTATGTGCCTGCCTTTTTTACTTCCTGAAGAAGGGAGGCTATGTTTGGTTTGAACTCTGAAAACCATAGAAGCATTTGCTAGCTGTGGGTAATAATGGTTAGATTTGAAGAACCAGATATTTGAGGATTTGTTTCTTCAGCCTCTGTCAGAATCAGATGAGAAAAAGTTGCAAGATGTCTAAGCATACTCATGTCTGCAGACTGCATACAAATGAAACCAACCTACTATATAGATACCCTTTGCATTTAAAGTGCTACAGAACAGTCACACAAGCCTTGATTCTGCTGCAGAATTTGCTACCAAATCCCATGCTTACATAAGGACTCTGCAGAGCTCAAACCTCTGGTGCTTGATATTGTTAATCTTACGAATAAATGGCCTAGTCCTGTATGTCTGTGAAGTGGTTCAATACTGGCTGACTTTCCAGTGAAATGTGAGCAGTTTTGGTGAGCATGAACTTCCTTGCTTTTATGTAATCTCTCTTGGCTTTTGTAAAACCTGTTCACTGTTTCCCTGCTGATCATTAGGCACCACCAACCGAAATTCGTACGCAGTGACCCTTACAAGTGCTTGAATGCTTGGCAGAATTAGGGCATGACCTTTGGAAATAACTGGGGGGGAGAGGGTTACTCAATTTGAAATCAGCAGGACCTGTTGTGCCCCACACCTCTAAAAATAAGATTGTTCCTGCCTGTAGTTCTAAGAAGTCTGTACTTGGATGTATCTGAGAGACGGCTGCCTCTCTTGGGCTGGGAGGGTGTAGTATATGACAGGGCTTTAGAAATGTAGGCCCTGAGGAGTGTGAAGGTTCCACAGCTCGCAACTGGGCAGGTCTCATGGATGGGTTACATGAAACCAGTGCACTGAAGGAAAAGAAGTCGTCAGGCACGCTCTGAGCCCCAAGCAGTCATGGCTTGGGCTCTGCAATACTGCTCTGCTCGGAGCAGATCCCTGCTGATCCCAGGATCCGCATGGACTGAGGAGGAGCAGCCTGCTCAAACCATGTCCTCAGGGGCCAGGAGGGTGGGAAGGCTTTTCCAGGGTGCACAGCCACGGCTGGGAGCACTGGTTTCCAGTTCCTGGCCTTTTCTTCTATCTGTTGAAAAGGTGAGCAGAGAAATGTGTTTCAGCTTTCATGAGCAGCTCTGTACCAGAGGCAGAGCAGCAGCATGCTCTCTGCTTCAGCCACTGCTGCCCATGTCTTCTGCAGGCCCACATGGGGACTATTAGGTCAGTGTTTATGCTGATCACGCTGTGGGCAGAGCTTATTAAATTTTTCATTAAAATGTGACTTTCATGTAGGTGACAGAATGGGGGGTATGTTAGGCAAACTGTGAGGAGCAGTGCTCGGCAATGAGCAAAAATCAAACAGCCAAGCAATAAAGCCTAGCACGTTTGTGTGCGTTTGCCACTGCAAGTTCCACATTGCCTGCCCTGCCAGCAAACCCATTTCTTTGACTCCAGAGCTCTGCTGCAGCTCGTCTTTCACACTCCATAGTTTCTCTCCAGAGAGCTTGGGATGTTTCTGGCCTGACCATGGAGGGCCAGCACACACAAAAGCTGAGCTAAATTCAATTGTGCTATACACCCCAAGGGAATTCCAGTTCATGTTTTTATACTCAAAGGTTGAGATCCTTGAATAAAGTTTGAATTGGTCATTGCCCCTTTTGCAAAAGAGAACATCCAGATACTTGCCGTCCCTGGTGTGATGACCCACAGGTAGTCCATGCTGCTTCCAGGGGCAGGAGGAGTTCTTGTTCTTCAGTTCCAGGTGGAGTTCATGGAGAAGGCGAGGGGCACGTCAGTAGAACAGCTAAGGACAATTAAAATTGTGTTTCCCAATGCGGTTGCAGTTTTGCTCAGATTTGTGTCTGAGTACAACTACTTGAACCAGCAGGAATGATTAAGCTTAACAGGATGCCAGTAAGGCAAAATGCACTGCTCTTTTTGATAGTGGTTTTCTAGGACCTGTGAATCCTTTTAAAATCGTAGCATGGGCTGTACATACATGTAAGAAGACCTCTACTTAGAAGTGACAGGGCTAGATCAATGACTACCTTGTTGTTTCTGCAATATGCCTTACTACTTAGAAAAGTTAAATCCAGTGAGATTATTCAACAGATTTGAGCTCTGATCAGTATGTTATAAAGACATGTACTTACATATTACTTGTTTGGTTTGCAGCTCCTGGTTGCTAAATCCCCTGTTGCTCCATTCTCTGCCTTTTTCTACACTATTGAGAAATCAGGCTTGGTTCTTCAAGGTAAGACCAGAGCATTGATTGTTTTGCCTTTTCAGTTAGTATTTTAAGCAGGCTGAATGTAGGTAACAGCATCTATGGCTGAAAATGGAGCTGTTTATACCTGATTAAAAACTCCCATATTTAACAGTCTGGCTAACAAGGGCAGCCCTCTGATACACTCGCTGTTTTGTCTTGGATTATACTAAATCAGTTGTTGAGTATTCCAGTGGATCGTGGGCCCTGAAATTATTAATCAAGGCTCCCTGTTTTCCTGCAAGGTAAAGTAGAATGGTTCTGACAACGTTGCCATTGGATAGATTTCTCCAGGAGAAACATACCTATCTACCATTAATAACCTGCTCTAGTAAATGGTTATTCTTTAGCGAATGGCTTGACATCAGTAAAAGTACAGGAAATTAATATCTGTTCTCTATTTTTGTGATTAGCATTTTAATGCTAATGCCCCATGGCCCAGATTCTCTGGGATATGAGGTAGTGTACTGAAAAGCTGTATATTACTGCCATGATGTCAGGGAACTGGGGTTCCATGTGGCCATGTCCTAATCCATGTACTTTTAGACCACAGCAAAAGGGAAGTTCAGCCCTTCCCCTTTTAAACCCATTTATTCCAGTAAGTCTCCCTTTAATGCCCCTACTTTTTGATAGACATTCATAGATAATTTTGTTTAGTTGCTGTCTGTTGATATGCAGCCTGACTCCTGATTGCTGCATCAGTTCAGCAGACTCAATAAAACTAGTCAGCACCTGTCACTTTTTGTTCAGAGGATATGCTCTGATATGCAGCCATGGCGTTAAAAAAAAAGTGAGTATCGCTGTTTCTGAGGTCACTGATCTCATAAAGCACCTTGAACATTTTAAGGTATGCAGACAGTTCCTTCTGATTGCCCATTTCTCACCTTCAAACAGGCTGTACCAGACCAGCAACATGTTTACTTTTACTAGTGACTAAATACACTTACATCTCTGGTGATACATAACATCAGAAAACAGAAGAATCAAAAATATTTTTATGCTGTGTTTTTGCTTCCATTTGATACACCTACATAATGATAATAGGGGGGTAGGGGTGTCCATCTGGTGTTTCCTAAGAATTTAGGTACTATACCCAGTGTATTCTTAGATGGCATTTTGGAAATTTGATCTGGTTTATTTGTTAGCAGTAATTTTAAAAAGGCTACAGGAACTACAAACAATTTTTATTAGTTTAAACTGAGATGGCTTGCTAGAGTTGGTCTAGACATATTTTGGTTCAGTATAGGGCAGAAGACAAGCTACTTTTCTATGTTGAATATTTTCTGTGTTGCAGAGATGTTTCTCGTCATTAATAAAAAGTCAGACAGTTTCCTGCTCTGTCCTCAGGCACTGATGTAAGTGAAACTTTGGGAAAGAAAAATTTCCAGTTTCAGAAATGGGAAGCATTTTTTTCAGAGAGGATCTTTGTTTCAGTCTTTTCTGTGAGACAGGACTATAGCTTTCCAAGGACTGAACCTTGCCTTTAACGAACAAATGGGCCTGGTAACATGTAATGATGGTGGAGCAGGACTCTGATAGAAGGGATAGCATTGTATTAGGAGTATGGGAATTGCTGTCTTCCTGGTATCCATGTTTCTGGGCTGCACATTTAAACCATCTTTCACTGTTTTTCTAAAATCAGGGGAGATACCGTTTTGTATAGCTCAGAGTAAATGCTGTCTCTATATCAAGCATTCTTTGTACATTTTGGAAGGCAGCTTGAAGCTCTTCTTTTCTACACCGTTATGTTTCCAGTTTAGATATTTTTCTCCATGATGGGTATTAAGGACGGGCATGGTTCCCCTGATAGTGTGTCCCAGACTATTTTACAGAGACTTGCAATCACTTACACACAAGCCATCTGAGTTGTTCAAAGTAAATATTGCATGTTCTCATCCCACATTTCAATGATCATTAATGGAAAGAGTAAGTGAGCAAATCACCTGGAAATGGCTGTTTCAGATAAGACAGAGAAAGAGGCACAAGGCTGCTTCGTGCAAGGGTGGCTAGGTTTTTTATGAGAGTTGTAGCTGGTGCTTTTTTCCAAAGGGAAGCTGGACACAAGGTAAGATATCAATAAGTCAACTGGCCATGGGTCAGCCGGTGAGGGAGTGTCCCTGCGTCGCTGCTCAAGGGACATCGTATAGCACTAACAAGTGGAATCTGTCCCGTAGACTGATTGCAAAGGCAGCTTTCCCATTCAGGCTTTGTTGTTGAGTTCAGATGGTGTCAGGAGGTGATCACATTCAGGATGGCTGATGGGAACAAGTGGATGGGTGTGGGAACTGGTGAGAAACAGCAGCTGGCTGAAGTGCCCAGGATTCCTTCTTTTTACTCAGGGGGTCCCATCCTGGGACCATTAGCCAATAGGCCATAAACAAATTGATATCGGAAAATGTGGCTGGAAACTCCTTGATTAGAGAGGGTGAATGGGGAATGAAAGACAAAGTGAACGTGTGATTTAACAGTTCCATAAGCAATTTCCATTGTCACCTCTGAGGGATTAGGATGTGTGGAATAGGCTAAAAATGAGGAGGAGCACCCCCCACCCCCCCCACCCCCCCTTTTTGTTCTGTGGGCTGGAGGATAATAAAACGGCAGGAGAGGCAGTGCAGCTACTTAGGGATTTCACAGGCTGCTATTTGATGCAGTTTAAGGAGCCCTTCTGCTATTGTTGCAGTTAAAATGGGAAGCGGAACTGTTCTCCATTTGCAAAAATCTCCAGCGTCCTCAGGAAGAAGGCTGAGAGCAAAAGGCTATTAAGATGGTAATGCTGCCCCATTTGGAGGAGTGTATCAAAATCCTCTTTGTCAATGTAAATCGCTTCTCTGTTTCCCTGCTATCTTTGCATCTCATGGCCTCGGTGCAAGAACAGTGTTTGGAGGAGACCCTCGTGAAGGCAGAACTGCTTCTCTTTTATTGTCAGAGGATTGCTCCAGGTTGCCCAAGGGTGCCACAGAGAAAACTTCTTTGCTTTTATAAACTTGAAGTGTTTAGGGATGAAAAGAATCCATTTATTCACTCATTCTTTTATTTCCATTTGCAGACTAGAGAAACAAAATTTGATGGTTGGAAAGCAAGATTGGCTAGTCAGAGATTTACCAGGGGAAGTCAGCCTTCATTATCCTGCTTTCATTGCTTCAGTATGCACTGTGCTATGGAGGGGGTGAAGTGCAAACCAAAAAAAAGCCTTAATTGCCTTTATATTGCAATACGATGTCATGTAATGTCCTGCATGCTGTACAGTGTGACTCTGTATGAACCTGAATTGAGAATGCAAAATCTGTTTTATAGAGATCATAAACAGGAAGGCAGGAGCCTGGACCTAAGCACTTCAAAATATTGGAAGTTTTGCTGTCTGCTTGTGTGTTCTGTTTAAGGACTTGCTGTTGCTTCCCTAATTCAATACGCTAGGTAAAATAAATGAGATGATACTGTTAAAAAGAAGAATTAACAACAAAAAGCTCCAGACCTGACTGTTTAAGGGTGCAAGTCACAAGATTATTTTTCTCATTGGCAGTGATATAATTTATGGTCTGGGTTGGAAATCACTAGCTGGTAGTTCTGTTTCTGGCATATCAGTCAGGACAGATTCTGGTCTGTTCTCCCCTTGTAGTTTCATTGATGCTGAATGTCACACATACTGGGTTCGGGCAGCTGAATTTGAAGATGCCACTTAGCCATGCAAGCACATACGCAAAAAAAGAAGATAGGCTGAATAAACTGATGTCGGTTTTAAGCTACATTCGGTGGGGCATCGTCCAAGTCTAACTTTAGAAGTAGCAGCATTCTAGGATATAAATAGCAAGCAACAGAGCCTAGCTATTAGCAGCTGATAGCTGGGCTGTTTGTGGATGTAAGTCTCATTCCATCTCACCTAAGTAAATGCCCTCTGTTACCAAGAGGATGGCGCTGCAAAAGAGGACAGGGAACATGGTGCCTGATTGCCAGCTGGAGAGTCTTTTCACTAAATGCTTTAACCAAACTGATTAACACTGCTCTTCACTGAAAGAGCTCAGAGGCAAATAATACTAGTGAGCTAGGACTTGCTTTTGAGTAATGATTTATTTTCAGTGTCATAGGGTTTAAAGATGGGTGGAATCAGCTGTTCATCCAGACTGACCTCCCATATGTCATGCATGTTTCCTTCAGATATGTGATAACTTTTTACACTGAATCATGTCTTTTAGAAAGGCATTCACTTTTGTTTGAAGACATCAAGAAATAAAAGTTCCTGGTTTGTCTTGACAGTGCTATCAGGCTTTAGCTACCTTGCTGCTAAATATTTGTTCTGTATTTCAGATTAGAATTTGTCTGCCTTAGCTTTTGACCTCAGTTCTTGTCATGACCTTCAGTGCTAAATAAAGCACTGTTGCTGTTAAATGGTTGCCGTTTTGCATGAGTGTACTTGACATTAAGATTTATCCTCTTTTATTCTTCGTTTTGAAAGAAAGTTATAACTACCTGGAAACTTAACCTCAAAACATCTGTGTCTCATGCTCACTGGCTCCCACTCAAAGTAAAGACAGAATACTTAGCGTTGCTAAAGGGAAAAGTTAGATTCTTGTATCATGAGGACTGGATAATTAGTTGATTAATCCACCCTTTCTCCTGCCCTCTTTTCCACTGCTCATGTGTCTATGTGCACACAGCCGTGCTCACCTTGCCTATAATGTCTTATTGAAGCAGGTAACTTCTCATAAGTAGGAACAAAAAATATGTGGCACTCAGAAGAGAGTGTCTTAGGTTTTAAGTTTCATCGTACTAATAGGGGAGAGATCTGGGAACAGCTAAATCTAGGGAAACCTTGGTACATTGTGTTGCATTTGTCACTAATGTAAGGAAGGAGACTCATTTTGATCTCAAAATAACATAGGGTCTGGGTTTGTAGTGCAGTGTGGCAAAGTGTCTCCAAATGCTGTAACTAATTTATATGGCTGAAGCAAGTGAAAAGTGCCTCATTTTATTTTGTAAAGAAAGGAGTAGTG